AGCCACTGACCCACACACAGGGGCCAGCTCTTTGCTGTCCCTAGCCCTTCATGCTGAATGGCTGGTTTGACCCTGAACTCATGACCTTCTGTTCTGTTCCTCAGACCACAGGCGAGAAGCTGGGCAGGGCCGGATGCCTGTGGCTTCCAGGCTGCCAGGTGCAGGAGCACTAGCAGTGCCTGAGCTTTGCCAGGGCTGTCGGGGGTGCTCAGGGGCACAGCTGCTGCTGCCTGGGAGCCTGTCAGCTCTTGCCCACCAATGGCTCCACATTCATTCCACTCATTCCCTCCTGCCTGGAAGGAGAGGAAGGGGGGCTATTGGCCCACCACACCCACAGTTCTTCCTGATGCCAGTTGGGCAGTGTGGGGGAACTATCTTGGGCTCAGTAGTATTTGATGGCCTAAATACCTAGGCACAGACAATATCTGCTGAGCTCAGGAAAGGGCCACAGTGCCTGATGGCTGCAGTGCACTGTGGGCACCCCACAGCCCCAGAGTCAGGGAGGAGGGTGGGGTGGAGGGTGAAGAGCATTACTAGAAGGCTAAGACAGACCTCAGTTTCCAGGTAGGCCCTAGAGTCTCTGGAGGTTGGAGGTCATCCTGAGGCAAGAGTCACTGCCCCAGTCACCAGGCTTCCTCCCCCTCCCTTTCCTTGGCCTCATGACCAGGGCCAAAACTGCCAGGAGTTGCAGGGCAGAGGCAGCTCTGGCTCATACTTCGACCTCGGTGGCGTGGTTGGCCCAGGACTATCCATGCAGGGAGGCCTGCACCTCTGACAGTCGGTTACAGCTCGGGGTGCCCATCTTCTGTGCTTTGTGGTACATATCTGTGTCGCCGAAGTAGCGGGCCCGGTACAGCAATCCTTCCTCTGCAAAGCAATGTGGCAGGCTCAGGACACACCCTGCACACCCAGCCTGCCAGGGTGCTGCCTGGGCCTGTGGGGGAGGAGGAAGGCTGTCACAGGCCCAGGAGCTTGGGCTGAGCTGGCCTTCCACCAGGGAAGACCCTGGAGGGACAAAGACTATATGGTCCCACCTTGAAAGAGGGCTGGCAGAGGCCCCTTCTTCTAGAATGATGGTGAGGCCGGCCAAGGTGTCCTTGTCACCCTGGTCAGACCTCCTGTTGGGTCTCACGGATCTGGGCATGCAACCAGTAGGCGGCCAGAATCTGCTCCAGTCTGTCTCCACCTACTCACCTCTGGCCACCAAGATGACAGGCTGACTGCAGTGGGTTGCCGGAGCCAGGAGGAAATCACCAGGTGGCCCCTGGCTCCCAGACCCAGGGACACACATGAGCAGAGCCCAGCTCTTGGCTGGGAGGTGGCTGGAGCAGGGCAGTGCCAGGTGCTGGGCCCATAAGCCCTGGCTGAGCAGGGCTTCTCCTTTCCTTGCTCTCGGGCTTTGCCCCCACACAAACACACACACCCCCACATGCACACTCACTCTGTTGTTTTTCTTTCCAGCAGTTGTTTCGGAGATTGGCGATGTAATCATCTTCCACATTCCTTTCGACTGTCTTGAGGCTGGAGCCCGTGTACTCCTCAGAGAAGGTGTCTGCCACGTAGTAGACGACGTTCAGGTGGTCAGTGACTCGCCTGTGGATGTGGCCCACCGACCTGGCCAGGAATATACCAGGCACAAGTGGGCACAGGTCCCTGGGCCCAGGGCGGCTCTAAGGATAATGGGGTCCCACAGCCACAAGTGCAGCCGATCCCTCCCAAACCAGAGCAAGACATCACACTACACAATCGAGGGTCTGAAGGAGGGGCAGGACTTCCTACACGTGGCCCAGACTGCAGCCAGCCCTTCCGGAATTTAGGCTCTCTGCTTACCACTGTTTACTCAGGGTTCTCCCTCCCACGCCTCAGTTTCCCCATTCATCCTCTAAGCCAACTGCCAGGGCCTTGCCTACCTATCCAGGAGCTCCTGGTGTAGAGCTAAGAGCTTAGGGAGGAAGGACTCCAGGGACCCTTTTAGCTCGATCACAGGGTCTGTAGGCTGCAGGAAAGCTTCACACTCAGAAGCCAGTACTCAGGGAAGGCCAGCCCCTGCCTACCCACTGCATCTCTCCAGCCGCAGGCAGAGGGGCTGGTATCAGCCCACGGAGAGTCTCAGCCAGCAGGAGGCAGAGTTGTCCACAGCTCAACAGAGAATGTATATTTTCTTGATTCTAAGCCAGTTTTCTGCACTGTGATGGAAAATCTGCCAGAAGGGCTGGACAGAGCCAGACCAACACTGCCTCCTGTTGGCTAAGATAGATCCTGCTAGGGTCCTGGCCAGAGGCAGGCCAAGGGTGGCAGCAGACCGCTTTTACCAACAGAAACTGAGCACTCAATGCGCATGAGATACTGGGCTGGTGCTGGAATAAATGAGGGAAGCTGCTACCTCAAAGGTCAAATAACTGGCAATTGAGACCAAATATTTATTCAACAAATATTTCTGGGTATTTCTCTCTCTCTTTTCTTTGGAGAGTTTTTTTTTTTTTTTTCAATAGGGCATATGCCAGTGGAATCTGAAGCCACCAGAACTTAAACCGCGGTTGGCCATGTGGGAGTCCAGCAATGTAACCACCATGCCTTCTGCTGGCCCCATTGCTGGGCATTTCTAATGAGCCAGACATTTTATATGCATTACTCACTAGTTTTCACAAGCAGGTGGATGTTATTATTTCCATTTTATAGATGAGGAAACCAAGGCTGTCACTTGTCTAAACTCACACAGCTTCTTAGTGGAGAAGTGGGATTCAAGTTTACCCTTGTTATGTCGGACTTTAGAGTCCTTATTTTTTCCATAGTCTCAGAGGTTCCAACTAAAATTTTTTTTTAAGGTTTATTTTTAATTTTTAAAATTTAGCCATAGGGTGTGTGTGCTCACAGGAGAGAGGGAAAGACAGACAGAGACAGAGAAAGGGAAAGTTAGAAATCACCCCCCAAGGGGGATGGCCATGCCAAAATCCCTTCGACTCCATTCTCCTCTTGGGACTTTGGGCACATGTACACACACACACACACACACACACACACACACACATGTGCGTCTGGCCTGAGTTTCAAGCCACCGGGTCTAGGACTTGAACCGTAGTTAGTCACGTGGGAGTCCAGCACTTAAACTACCAAACTACCTGCTGTCCCATTTCCCTCAACCAGAATTTAAGAGCAGAGATTAATTCAGGGTCAGTAGATAAGATGGAGTAAGGAAGGTGTCATGAAGCCTAGGAAATATATGCAAAACTGTATGTGTATTGTTCTAGAGAAAAGTCTGGTAGATTTCACTGCATTTTCCTGGGGGTCTATGATACTAAAAAGATCAAAAACCACAGCTCCACAGAGAATGTATATTTTCTTGATTCTAAGCCAGTTTTCTACATTGTGATTAAAAACCTACCAGAAGGGCTAGATAGTGATTCAGCAATAAAAGGCAGTGCTCTGTGAGGCTGACCCACATGGGAAGGTTCCAGGTTCATGGCCAGAGACCTCCCTGACTATGCCACGCCTATGTGTGCCCATGACTGGGGGCTGCCTGAGGCTGGAGGTAGAGAGTAGCATTCAAGACCCTGTTGGAAGTGCTGTGTCTCTGTCTGTCTTGCTCATGGAAGTAATAAATGAATATAGTTTTAAAAAATCAACATGGGAAGATCCCTGATGGGGGAGACCAGAGCCCCTAGTCTGCCCACCACCCTGACCTTGCTCCAGCTGCAGGTACTCACGGTCTTGGGCTCAGACTGTAGGGTGGGCTGGACACCATGAGCTGGCTGAGAGCTGACACGAGGATCAGGATGAGGATGGGCATCAGCTGGACAAACACCCCTAGCCCACCCTGGGGGGAAGAAACAATGGTCACCATGCTAGACCTGCACAGGGGATGGCATTGGTCACAATGCCACCAGTTCCCTTAGTTCAATAGAGCCTAAGGGCCTTAACATCACACTCACTCATTCCCTCCCATATTAGTCCCCCGATACAGAACCCCCTCTACTTGTCAGCTTTCCCAGATAAAAACAAAGCAGCAATTGTATTAAACACAGGAGGGAGCGTGGCATACACGCTTACTTGTGAAAGAATACCAAAAAAAGCAGCAAAAGTGGCCACCTCCAGGAGCCGGGGCTGGAAGGAGACTTGTACTATATGTGGCTTTTTGAATTTGGGATCATATAAACTCATTTATTACCAATTAAAATTACCCATTAAACAGAAATACAATTCATAATAAATGTATTATTGCCTAGTAATCTGGGAATTAAACAATTCTTTTGCACCAGCTCCATAGCACAGTGGTTAGGCACTATGCAGAGAAAGCCAGATCCCACATGGCCTACCAGGGTTCGAGTCCATGCCCCATCAGCTTGAAAAACATTCTGGGTGCACGTGTGCATGCCCAGGCCCTTTGGGGGTGCATGCACGCGCATGCACTCTCTCTCTTCCCATCATGTACATATACGTGCCCTCTAGCATTAAAAAAAAATCCTCTACTGTATATTAAATATAAAAGTTTTAAATTTTTAATTAAATCAATTATTTAATTGCCAGAGAGCATATGTACTCAGAGACAGAGACGAGGGGTGGGAGGGGTGAGAAGCACCCACCAATGGGGTGTGCTGGTGCTCTTCTCCCCCATTTTTACATCTTGGTGGATTTGGGGCACAGATGCACACGTATCCAACATATTTTTCAAGTTATCAGAGCCAGGACTCTTAACTACGGCCAGCCATGTGGGATCTGGCTCCTTAAACAGTAGGCCGCAGGGCCAGTGCCAGGGCCACAACATAAGTTATTTAAAAAACGAACAAACCTTGTCAGAACAAAAGCAACCCCTCTGCCTACCAGAGCTTTAAACGCTCTGCAATTGTCTGTGAAACTTTCATTCTGGCCCACTGGCTGTTCCATCTGTGGCATACAAATGTATTTGAAGCACTGTATAGTTACGGTTTTGTATATAGTTTTTAACAGCGCTACAAAGAGGCAAGAGCCAGCACCTATGCTGTCATCCTTTACACTTCTCTTACAAACAGTAACTTTTCATTGCTTGGAAAATGTCACTATGGCTGCATAGAGGCCATTCACACTAGGATTGTCTGCAATGGAGAAGTTTCAGTATGACATTTCCCAACAGAGGCCATCAAGCCCTGCTCCTGTGGGAAATGTGGAGTGTGGCGCCCTCTGGTGTCGCTTGGCAGAATGGCTCCTAGGCTAATTGTTGGGGCACTGCTGGTCTAAAATGTGATTCCCTCCTCCAGGCCCTACACACTGGGGTGGGCACAATGCCTTCCCCCTGCTCTCCCCAGGACCTTCCTCACTCACATCACCCTGGTTCTCCCTGCGGTCCTGCCTCTGCTGGTAGGTATAGCGCATGCGGCCGTTGCTGTAGACATGAACATTACCTAGAAGACAGGGGGACGGAGTCAGGAGCTGAGGCTGCTGGGAGGGGGAAAGGCTGGCAACGTAGCCCTCCACCGTCACCCCCAGGAGACCTGGCTGTGGGGAGGGTGACCTACTAGAAGGGAAGCCACCGCCAAAGAACATGTTGAAGAGATCTTCAGGAGAAATGTCTGCCTCGAAGCCACGGTGGAAGTCCCCGTGCCCGTGGCCGTGCCGGGCTGCCTGGCTCTTGTCGTCTCCGAACTGGTCATACTGCTTCCTCTTCTCGGGGTTGCTAAGTACCGCATATGCTGTGCCAATGGCTGGAAAGGAGGTGGAAAGGTCAGGCCTGGGAGTGCTGGGGTGCGCTGGAGGCTCCCCAGGCAGGTGTTCACTGTTTTCAGGAACTGTGGTGCTTTAGGAAGCAGGAGTCCTTGGGCCAGCAGGAAGCTTGGCCGTGGGGCATGTGTGGAGAGAGGGGCATGCACTAGACTGTGAGGAAACCTGGGCATCCTGGCTGGGTGCAGGTTTAGCACCCAGGCTCCTTGGATGATGGCCGAGCTTATTCTGTGTGCCAGGCCTGGTAGGGGCTGTGTCTCATTCACTCCGAACAGCAACCCTATCCATTTTACCAACGAGAAACAAGGTTCAGGAGCTCTGGTATTGCAGAGCTGGGAATCAAATCCAGGTGTATCTTGCTTCAAGTTTTCTCTCTGACTTTATGAAAACTACATTCCTTAGGTGCCCAGTGGGATGGGGCACCCCTTTCTGGAGGTTATGTGATACCGATGTCAGAGAGGCAAGACAAACACATGATGACCTTGTTGTGAACAGGAGCTGCTGGGAGGGGCCAAATCCCTGGGTGATGTGACCAGGGCGTGTCCTCCTCCCTGGGGTCCAGGCCTCAGGTGCTGTTTCCTACTCAGCCTGCCGCCCAACCCTCCCTAAGCTCCTTGGGCGAGAAGCTTGGGCCCAAAGGACCCAGCTCTGGGCCCTCCTCAGTCCCTCACTCCTCAAGCCACCCCTGCTCCCAGAGCACTGGGTCAAAGCTGTACCTGCTTCATGATCTGCAGCCCCTAGAAATGTGGTGGGCAGACTCCCTGTTTTTGAGAGGTTTTTGCTATAGGGCGCGTGCGCTCGCCAGACAGACAGAGAGAGACAGAGAGATAGAAAGCAGGAAATCACCCCCCAGGGGGGATGGCCACGCCGCAATCCCTTCTCCTCCATTCTCCTCTCGGGATCTTGGGCACGCACGCACATGCGCCCGGCGTGAGCTTAAGCCACCGGGTCCGGGACTCGAACCGCGGTCGACTACGTGGGAGTCCAGCGACATAGCCATTACGCTAACTGCTGGTCCCGGCAGACCCCCTTTCTGCCAAGGCCAGAAGTGGCTTCTTAGGACATGCTGGGACTGGCTGCAGGCAGAGGTCAGGGTGGGCTGGCTCACCCCTCCCCCTTGTCCTCCTCCCTCGGGGGCACATCCTGGGAGGCAGCATGCCAGGTTTTGGGGTCTGTTTAGCCACGTGCTGCCCTCTGGCTCTGGTCATGGCCCAGGACTGCACAGGTGCCTGCCGGGCCAGGCAGGACTTGTCACATGCTGTCTCCCAAAGGTAAGCAGGGGGTGAACAGGTGGGAACGAGAGGAGGCAGCCATGGATGTGGGCACCACAGAGCTGTGGTCAGTGCCCATGGTGCCTTCCGGGTAGATCCAATACAATGAGTGAAGGGCAGCTCACAGCTCCAGCTCATGAAGCACTCATCCCAGAATCAACCAACCTGAGGCCTCCACTGCAAGGGCTATGGATGTATGGGAAGACTGACCGAAGCTGCCGGTACTGAGGGGTGCACCAGAGGCCCCTCAGTGAGGGAGACTTCCTGAGATGGGCAGCTACAAGGCGCCAGGATGAAAAGCATGTGGACGAGTCTTGGTCACTGTGTAACCTCGGGAGACACAGCTCAGTTCCTCCTGTCACCCAGGGATGAGGAGCAAGGGGAGGCAGGAGTGGAGCTACTTGACCTCTGACAGACTCTGCATGGCTAGAGGTGGCTAAGCCTGGGGGCCTTCCTGGGAAAGCTGACTTGGCCTCTTACTCTCTGCCAAGGATGGAGATAACACCAGAGATCCAGGCCAGCTTACCTTTGAAAGCTTCAGTGGCACCAGGTGCATGGTTCTTGTCCGGGTGGAACTTGAGGGCTAGTTTGCGGTAGGCCTTCTTCAGGTCCTCATCTGAGGCCCCCCTGCTCACCCCCAGGATCTCGTAGTAATCTTTGCATTGCTTGACCCTGGGGGAGGGAGAAGAGGGTGGTGGGGGGCCAGGGCTATGCAGTGAGGTAGGGCAGGAACAGGCAGTGTGGGCACAGGCTCCACAGGCTGCAGGGCTCAGCAGGGTCAGCTGTCCGACCTCGGGCACCAGGCAGCCTCATGTGCTCCAACTGTGACGATGCCCGCAGGGCCCACGGCAACACCAAGAATGCATGTAGTGGGGCCAGCAGGTGGCATGGTGGTTAAGGTGCTGGACTCCTACATGGCCATCCACAGTTCAAGTCCCTGACCTGGTAGCTTGCTTTTATGCTCTCCCTGTCTCTTTCTGGTGAGCACATGTGCCCTGTAGCAAATTACAACAACAAAAAAAAGGAAATAAAATTAAATAATTCTTTAAGAGAATAAAGGAACACAAGTAGGATTTAAGAGGCTGTTTTCTGCGTGGCCAGTATCCCTTTTCTTCCTGCTAACAGCACCCTCACTGGAGGCCAGCTTGGGTGGACTGTCAGTGCCTGTCAGAGACCTCAGCACCTGGTGCACGTGTCCCTCAGCCAACTTACTCTCTCCTGGCAACCTGAGTCTTGGGTATATAGAATATAGGTCCGAAACCACAGGTTATCTGTTCACCCTGATCACAGTGTCCCAAAGATAGCCTGTTTCTCTCCCATCGAGCCCCACATTCACATCGGCCCCTGGGAACCTCCTGGTTCTTGGCTTTCTCTAGGCACTCCCGCCCCTCCTCCATCAGTTTCTACTGTCTACAACTGAGGGGGGGGCCGGTCAAAGCACTGCTAGGTCAGAGGTGTAAAAACCTGGCCTGTGCTTTCGTGACAAGCCATATTCATAGGTGGTCACATGCCGGCTGCCCCCGGTCCCAAAGCCAGCCTGCCAGAGTCTTCACTAGCAGCCAGGACACACAGGCATGTCCTCCCAGGGATTCTCAAGTCAGCTGGCGGAGGCCTGGGGAGGGTGAGAGCTGGGAGCGTCCAGTCCTAAGAAGCCATGGCTGGTTGCTCTCACGCCTAGCAGTGAGCTAACTCCTCTTGTCTCTGCTCCACCCACACAAGCTCTGGTCTGAAAGGGTCTTTGTTGGGAGTGGGGGAGAATCTGGAGGGGAGAGCAGGCTCTACTCTGTCTGACAAACAAAGCTGTATCAGGAGGCCCAGGGCCCGCCTGGCCAGTGGCAGAGGAAGCTGGCATGTCAGGGTTTCCAGCCTCTGCTGTGGGTCGTCTTGGTGGGAGGAGACAGCGGGGTCCTGGCTCCACACTGTATTCCAGGACCGTGTGGGAAGTTAGACTCCTTGGGCCTCCACTACCCTCCAACACCCTTCCAAGACTCCACTCAGGGCACAGACAGAAGTGAGGTGGAGGGTGCACCGCCAGGGCCTTCTCCCTGGGCTCCGGTCTTGCCCGCCCAGCACGCGCTCTACCTCTTCACGGCTGCCACTTGTTCTGCCGTGTAGCCTTTGGTGCTCTCCCCTCCTCCAGCTTCACCGTTGGCCGAGGGGGCATCAGTCCCACCTGCTTTCCTGTGGGTGGCGTGAGCTGCTTCTGTGGGTGGGGGTTGGTCACCAGCAGGCTGTGGTTTCTGGTTGAGGGACTCGATCAGGGCTGTGCAAGGCAAGGAAACCATTGAGGGTCCTGCTCCAGCGGGGCTAGTGCCTTGGCTGAAGGTCCCCTACATCCCGCACGCTTCCCCTCCCGGCAAGTCACCAGCTCCTTCCTGATCTGGCTACTCATGGGATAGTCGCCTGCCTTCTTGAGATCCACAGTCCTCAGACGGCAGGGTATAGGGCTTTTTCTTTCACTTAAACATTACTTTTTAAAATAAAAATACTAAATCTATATCATTCACAGAAAAATTACAATAATTGCTTTATTTTTCAGATAATATATGTACATATATATTTTTTCCTTTTAAATTTAGGCAGAATTTTGATATTCTGATAATCTTCAAAAGGCACACTTGGGCTTTATTAATAAACCTTAAAGTATTCTAAATTTTTTTTAGGGGTAGGCAGTAGGTAACATGGAGGTTAAGGTGCTAGATCTCACATGACCAACGGCTCAGTTCAAGTCCCTGACCCGGTGGCTTGAAAATCATGCTGGGTATGTGTGCCTGTGTGCCCAAGATCCCAAAAGGGGAATGGGGAAGGGACTGTGCCATGATCATTGCCCCTGGAGGCTGATTTCTTGCTTTCTCTCACTCTCTTTCTCTCTCTTTCTCTGTCTCTGGTGAGAGCATGCGCCCTATAACAAAATTTAAATAATAATAATAATAATAATAACAACAACAACTAGAGAGCGAATGCATTCATGAGAGAGAGGAAGCACTCCCCAGGGGAGATGGCCATGCCACAATCCCTTCTCCTCCACTCTCTTCTTAGGATTTTGGGCACGCACGCACACATGCCCACTGCGTTTCTCAAGCCATTGGGTCCAGCCACACCGTCGGTCACGTGGGATACAGCCACCTTAACCATCATGCTACCTGCTGGTCCCTGGAGCTCCTAGAGAAGCTTTTATTCTGGTATCTCTGGAAGCTGGTCCAGGCTGAGTCTGATCCTGGTAAGTTCTACAGGCAACATAACCAGTCATCAAGTTGCCACAGGTACACGGGAACACCAGCCAGGAGATGGGACGGGCCTTCTCAGGGAAGACTCTGGAAGCTTTTCAGGGCAGTTACAGGGTGTTAGCCACCCTAATTTTCCTACACTGTGGAAACAAAGTCCAAAGGAGAACGAATGTGCTCCAGGTCACAGAGGACTCCTGCTCGCGTTGATGGCTGGCAATTAGGTCTCTCCTGTGGCCTGGGTACCCCCTGCCAGGTCCGTGGGATGTGACTGCCTTGTCCTGACTCACTCTTACATCCCTCATGGCACAAGAGGCTGATGAACAACATCACAAAAGAGTTAGGAGGCAGAGCAGCCTAAGGCCTGGCTCTGACCCTCTCAGCACAGCTGGCAGACCTTAGAAATCAGTGGAAGAGAATAACACGGGCCTGGGAGAGCAGTGGCTGAGAGAACTCCCACAGCCAAAGCCACCAGGGGCTGACCCTCCTCAAACTAGACTTGGCAGTGAGAGGGTCTGACGGGTTCAAACCTGGCTTGGCCACTTGCTGGTGGGGTCATCTGAGACAGTTAATTTAGTGACTCTATGCAAAACCATACCATCCTCATACATGTGTGGATACATATATGAAACTTAGCACAATGCCTAGCAAATAGCTGTTACTGCTACTTTTGTTATCAGGCAAAACTTCCAGTATCTCTCCATGTACCTTTTTTTTTTTAGGAGAGGTTTTTGCTATAGGGCACATACCTTCGCCAGAAAGACAGATAGACAGACAGAAAGCGAGAAATCACCTCCCAGGGGGATGACTATGCCGCGATCCCTTCTCCTCCATTCTCTTCTCGGGATCTTGGGCACGCACGCACATGCGCCTGGCATGAGTTTAAGCCACTGGGTCCGGGACTCAAACCACGATCGACTACATGGGAGTCCAGTGACATAGCCATTACTCCAACTGCTGATCCCTCTCTCCATGTACCGCAGTGCTCCAAGTGAGTCAGAAAAGGGAGGCCAGAGTGGGCAAAGGGCCCATTCTGTTTATTGGAGACTGACAGCTCTGGGCCCTTTGCTAACTAGCTGCATGGCCTTGTCCTTAGCTAATTCTTCAGTGAAGACAAGATTCCTGACCTTATAGGATTGCTTGGAAGGGTAAATAGGATTCAACAAAATAATGTGAGGGTCAGTCCTAACTAATCGCTAAGGGAGCTAGATCCCACATGGCTGACAATCAGCCCTGGTGGCTTGAAGAACACACCAGGCATGAATGCATATGTGCCCAGAATCCTGGTGGAATGGAGAATGGAGGAAGGGGGATTGTGGCATGACCACATCCCAACAACTGGCTTGCTTTCTTACTTTCCCTCTCTCTTTCTCTTCTTTCCCTCTCTCGGAACACGTGTACCCTCTGGCAATAAAAAGAAAGTGAATGAAAAGATTGAGCACACAGTGAGACTCATGATGGCTGAGTGACTTTAGCAGTCAATCCCACCCTGGGATTTCACCAGCACAAGAACCTCTCTCACCCTCAGATCCTGACTCCCAGATCATGAATGCCAAAATTCTTTAGCAACCATTCTCCCCTCTCCTGATGTCTGGCCTTCCCGACTTGGTCAGAGATCATCCAGACCAACCATTATTTGTATGCTGAGAAACGGAGGCCTATAGGTGTTCTCATGAGCTCCCTGAAAAACTGGGTGTTTTCCACCATTGTTGCTAGTCTCAGGCAAAGTCAATGAGTAGCAGGCTGCCAGGTACCAGACAGAAACGCCCAGAAAGGGACCAATTGGTTCTATTACTCCTGCTCTGTGACCTCCCAACTTAGGGCCCAGCTACCGTCCTGCAGTTAACTGTCCAGCCCTGGGTGCCACCCTGCCCCACCTCGCGCAGGAGTTTTAAGTCCCCTCACGTCCTTTATACTGAGGAGGCTGACATGTGCGGTTCCACAATCTTCAAGGTTGCTCTGAGCCTCCCCTCCCGGATCCCGGTCCCTCCCTCCATCTGTCCTACTTCTCCAAGAGCATTCTTAGTCTTGACCCTTCCCTTTCACGTCTGTCTTGTCCTTCTCCCATTTGGCCTCCGCGGCATCTGACAGTGCTGCTTACCACCTCCTTCACCTCTCCATGGCTACTGGCTGCTGCCCTCTCCTGGGACTGCCTCTTCTGCTGTTGCTCCATCTCATTTCGCTGCTTCCTCCACCTTGGCCCAATGGCTATGGGCAGATGTGGCCCATGGATGTGCCTGCAGCAACTTTCTCTCTATGGAGAGAGAGAGCTGGAGCTCTCTCCTGCGTTCCCAGCTGACAGTTCCTCTGGCACCTCCCACTCTGCCTGCCTCTCTCCACCCCAGTCCTTCAGCCTGGGCTGCTGCTTAGTCACACAGGTCTCGGTTCTGATTCCCCGACATTCCAAGTGATTCTCCTCACATTCCTCTTTCACACAATGACCTCCCCAGTGACCTTGTCTTTCCCATATTGCCCCATCTCAGGCTCTCATAACTTCTAACCTACTCAAGGCACTGTCACCTAACTCGTTTCCTGCCCCGAGTCTCTCCTCCCTCTCTAACCTAATACGCTGTTCTTTTTAAAGAATACCCTCTGGGGCTGGCTCTCTGGTGCAGTAGTAATGTGCTGCTCAAGAGAAGCCAGATCCCATGTGGTCACCTCAGTTCCAATCTTGGTCAGCCTGAGATAGGTTGGGCACTCGCACAAGTGCCTAGGATCCAATGGGCAGGTCCTTCCCTCTTTCTCTGTCATATGCCTGTGTACATGTTCTATCATGATAAAGAAAAAAAAATGTAAGATTTTCGGCTTTAGGGTGCTTGCATGTGCGAGAGAGACAGAGAGGGAGATATAGAGTGGAAAGTGAGAAATCGTCCCCGGGGAATGGCCACACTGCAATCCTTTTTCCTCCATTCTCCTATCAGGACTTGTGGTGCACGTGCACACACAGATACACATGCCGAGTGTGTTTTTCAAGACACCGGGTCCAGCACTTGAAACACACACACACACACACACACACCCCTACTGTGTTTTTCAAGCCATTGGGTTTATTAGGACTTGAACCATGAAGTTGGCCATGTGCGACCCAGAACCTTAACCACCATGCCACCTGCTGGCCTGAAAAAATAATTTTTTAAAAGTACCTTCATCTTATTCTTTCTACCAGAAACTTCAATGGTTTCCTCACTAACTACAAAATACAGTGAAAATATCTTGGCCTGGCAGAAGAGAATTTGCATAATCTAGCCCCATCTTACTTTCCTACCTAATCTTCGCTATATACCAATTATGACTTCCGCGGCCTCTAAGTCTTACTACACTCAATCCCTTCTCCCAAACCCCTTACAGCTTCCGGCACCCATGCCTTTTCCTGGTGTGCCTTTCCCAAGTCTTGTACCTTCCTGTTTTACTCTCCAAAGCCATATCTCATGTTAGATGACATTATTTATTTCTTTAAAAATTATTGATTTATTTTTTTTTTTGAGAGGTTTTTTGCTATAGGGCGTGTGCGCTCACCAGACAGAGAGAGACATAGAGACAGAAAGCGAGAAATTGTAATGGCTATGTCACTGGACTCCCACGTAGTGGGTTCGCGTCCCGGACCCGGTGGCTTAAAACTCACGCCGGGCGCATGTGCATGCGTGCCCAAGATCCCGAGAGGAGAATGGAGGAGAAGGGATTGTGGCGTTACCGTCCCCCCTGGGGGGTGATTTCTCGCTTTCTGTCTCTATGTCTCTCTCTGTCTGTCTGGCGAGTGCACGTACCCTATAGCGAAAATCTCTCCCCCCACAAAGAAAAAAAATAATTTATTTATGGGACCAGCAGATGGTGTAATGGTTACATTGCTGGACTCCCACACAGTTAACCATGGTTCAAGTCCCGGACCCAGCAGCGGCTTAAAATTCTCACTGAGTGCATGTGCTTGTGTGCCCAAAATCCCAAAAGGACAATGGAGGAGAAGGGACTGTGGTGTAGCCATCCCCTCTAGGGGGTGATTTCTCACTTTCTCTCTCTCTGTTTCTCTCTGGCAAGCGTACGT